CCTTTGTTTAAAAACATAAAATACCCAAGTTGACATTTCTGTTGGGAACTAGTGCCGTTCCTATATTTTTAAAAAAATGAGAGTTAAATTTCCCTCCCACCTCCTGTCACTGAGAGCTGGAAACAAAAACTGTTGTAAAATTAATTGTTGCCATCATTTTAAAAAAAAGAGGAAAGACAAAGACTTCCTTTGTGATGACACCTGAATGGTGTCCTTTTCATTCAAAGATGAATCTTTACCCCAGAGACAGTCTCTAGTATTTGGTCGAGGTTGAAAGGTGTCACATGAACAATTTCAGGAGTATTTGTTATGCCTTGTGTTGTAACCAGGGTATGGCTAATGTATATGGTCTGGGTATGTCTGGAACTTGCTGAAGCCAGTTCTTCACTAGTTAACGTCTACCAAACAGCTGATTATTCCTGCACAAGATTAATCATTCCAGTATGAACAAGTCTTTTTTTAACATATCTATAACAAATTTTGCAAAGATGTCTGCCCGATAGGCAATGAGGAATGTCTGAGGCTTGAGAGCGTTACCTGGAATCTGAGTTCCAAGGAAGCTCGCAGAGATTTCCAGGTACCAGAACTGATATTTTGGCACTTTCAGTATGAAGCATAGACCAACATGAATGTCTCAGGATAATCAAATGATTTGCTTCATTAAAACCATACAGGAAATATAGCACGTATATATGTGCTGAATATTGCATAGTATCTATGGTTCATTTTAAGTTAACAATACATATGGATCACACCAAAAGCTCTGAACAAGTACTGTAACGTCTTTGTGTGTTTGGATGTTCAGTTCATCCATTTAACAGGGAGAAAGAGAATTAAAGTGGATGCTGTGAGGTCTCATTCACTTGCTGCTGTTCAGATAGGAAGCAACTTGACTGTCAGATCTACCGGGATTCCATATCTTAAACAGCAAAATTATTCAATTTTGTTTCTATTTATTTCAAAGTTGTCACATCCTTGACCTTTTTATCATCTCCTTTATTGATTAATAGGAGAGCTCACAGCTAAAAATATAACCTATTTTGATCAGTTATTATGTTATCCAGTGTTTAGATTCCTATCTCTTAGGATGGCCAGTTGAACAAGTGCCAATGGAACTTGCCTGAAGTAGAAGGGGGAAAAGAGACAATATCGTTAGAAGAAAAAGGGAGGGGATCTGTACCTGAACAGGAAATCTGGACCTCAGTTTAACATTGCATCTGAAGGATGGCAACTCAAGCAATACAGCACACCCCTAGCCCTGCATCATAGTATCAGCATAGACAATATGAGTGCCAATCCCAGTGCGGGTCTTAAACTTACAGCCTTCTAACTTAGAGGCAAGAGTTAGTGGCTGCCACCTGAGTCAGAGGGAACGCCTTTCTGCTGTGCCTGAAGATTGCTTTGATACACTTCCAGTTACTGAAAGGAGTCCCTATTTAACTCCAATGTAATATAATTCAAGCCCCCATTCAATGTGGCCAATAAATATTTGAAGCCCTGCTTGGTTTGAGCCTAGCCCTGGAATGCCCTGCCAAATCTGATCTGAGCTAAGCAGTAATGCCACACCTTCCATCTGATTATTATGCTTGTGTTTATATGCTTAAGGTGCACACAATAGCAATTTAATGAATTCTGCAAAAGTTGGAAAGAATCTATTGGAGACCTAGCCTGAGGTCCACAGCTATTATAGATTGCATCAGAGTGTACTAAATTGTGTCTCAACACAACACTATGCAATGCCCATTCCAACAATTTAAATAAATGTTCATAAAAAGTTTATAATATTTTTTAGTGTGTATGGCTGTGTAAACAGTAACTGGGAGTGTGGAATTGAGCCAAAAAAAGCTTTGTGTGATTTTTTTTGACCCCATACGAGTGTTTCACCAGAAAACAAAATGTTCCAGAGGCTGACCTCAAGGTTCAGTGTGGAATCGAGCTCCAGACATCAGAATTTGATCCCTGCCTATGCGGAGTTAGCTAATCTCAGATGGAGCAGCATTAGAAGGACTTTAATTGTCTCTGGGCATGTTTCTGATAGCTCTTAAGAGATTCCTTCTTGGAAAGTCTATGTGTGTGTGTGTCAATGTGGAGGGTGAGGAAAGGGTCAGGCTCAGCTGTGATGCTCCCCAAGATCATATAGCCTGCCAGTACTTAGGGTAATGGAAATAGGGTTTGGTTTGGTGTTCAAACATTTCTGAACTGTATGAAGTCTATTTGAAACAGGAGAACTGAGGTTACACATACTATTATTTGGCACAGAGGGCAACAAACATATGTAATTTGGACATTTGGCCAAATTTATAATAATAACTAAATGATAATAATAAAACTTAATGATAACTTTTTAATAATATAATAATTATCCTCAAGTTTGATATAGCCCTCACACGTCAGGAGGATGTCCCAAAATGTTTCACTGGATATACTGTAAAGTACAATGATTGCGTATTTTGTAGGCAAATGCAGCAACCAGTTTGAACACAGCAATGTCCCACAAACAGCCATGAAGTGAATGACCAATTTTATTTGGGGAAATGGTGGCCAGGACATTGGGAGAAACTCTGCTTTGTTTTCAAATAGTGCCATGGTATCTTTAACATCAACTTGAACAGACAGACAAGTCCTTGCTTTAATGTCCCATCCGAAGGGTGGCACCTCCAACTATGCAGCACACCCCCAGCACTGCACTGGAGGGTCAGCCTAAACTGTGAGCTCAAAGTCCCCAATATGTCACCCATCATTGTGTATGTCTACATGTACCTTGTGAAACCAACTGCATCATGTAACTTGTATATCTTCTCAGCTCAAGATGTCCTGTGAATCTTGTACAACTCTACTTTAAATAAAGAATTCTTTCTTTAAAAAGAAAGCCATTGCAAATTCAAAAGGTAGTGTGGGAAAATGTCTTATGATGATGAGAATAATAATGGTCCACTTCTATAAATGTGTAGTGGTTTGTTAATCCTTCAAAGAAGCTCACGGTTTGATTGCCTTGCAGTCACCTGCCAAAAGGTCAAAATGTTATAGAATATTTGGATTTATCACCTGTCTACCTGTAAGCTGTGCCGAGTTTGCCTGAATTGTATTTAGATGAGGCAGAAGGAAAAAAGTTGAAGAAGTTGAGCTTGCTTTTTGAAATACAGGTGGTTAGAATGCAAAAAATTATACAAGTGCCAGTGGGGAAAAAAAAATTCATAAAGAACAGGTGGGAAATCAGATGTGTATATTTGTAACCCAGGAACATAATTCTCTGGAAAGAAGCTAACTTATGCATTTGCACCCTGAAAAGATGATATCGTTTCGTTAGGGGGTGGGAGATGGTTTAAAGCGGAAATGCTTTCACAACACCTTTGTAGGTGTTTTTAACAAAAACTTAATAATAAAAGTTTTTTTTAATAAATCAAGAGTTGATTGTATCTGTCTTGGTCACTTGGGATTTGGAGATCAGACACAAGGACACGAGAGTTCATTGCAAAAATATAAGTATTTATGTGTTGAAGGGTAAATTGCTTTACTTCACATAAACAGTTCATCTCATCAATTAGCTCTCGTATCTGTGTACCTCATCCCCAAGTCCTGTAGGGGTAGGACACATATGTTCAATGGACCTACGAATTGAACTCTGTCCCATTTTAGAGGATTTTTTTAAACCTTCAAAAATTGCACTGCATTTTTCCCTCTTTTTCATGACCTTATCAGTTTAAATATACATGAAATATATTTTGTGAAAGAATTATTCTAAGGCGTGGCTGCTGTTGTTTGAAAGCATTCATCTTTTAAGAAGTCCTGAATATCATCAGAAGCAAAAGACTGTCACATTTAATTTTTAAATATAAATGTTACAGAAAATTAAATGAAACTTGAAATTGATAATCTAATACAACAATAAGAACGTAATTATTTAGCTCCCTTCACGCAGGATAGCTTCTCGCATTGCTGCATAATGTTGGGGTGGGACACAGAGCAAGGGAGAGGGGATGAGAAAGAGGGAGGTGACCATAGGTACGATCAAAAAAGTAGATCTGAAGGTGCGATTCAATGATAGATTAGAGGCGAGGTGGAGGGATTGAAGCAGTGAGTTCTAGAGGTTAGGGTCTCAGTGACTGAAGGCATGGTCACCAGTGATGGCATGGAGGGAATGGGAGATGCAATAATATTAAATAAAAGGGCTCCATGTCAAGGATCACAAGATTAGTTTGGATGAAGAAGGCACTTCAGCCCACCGATCACATCCTTCCAGAATACCCACCTTATTGTCCCCCCATCACAGCATCAAGCTGCCTTTTAAATGAGTCCAATGACCTAGCCTCAACCATTTTTTCTGGCAGCTTGTTCCAGTCATTAATTACCCTCTAAATAAACAAAACATTCTTAGTATCTGTCCTGAAATTGCCCTTTACAACTCTAAACCTATGACTCAGATGTTTTTCAATTCCATTTAAAATTTTACGAGGTCCCCTCAGAGTTGTCTTCTCTCGAGCCTGAAGAAGCTCTAGCTTATCTAATTGTTGCTCATATCTCGTTCCTCTAACAATGGGGATCATTCTTGTTGCTTCTCTGCACTTCATCTTCGGCATGCGTAGCCCCTTTATGTTGCTGTGATATGAACTGCATGCAATACTTTCCAGAACACTCTACAGCCTAAGTATGAAGTCCAGGGATCTAAACTCAACTGATTTAGCAAAATAGCCCAGCACTGTGTAATTGCTGCCTCACAATCTTTTGACATAGTGACCGACGAGTCAATTAAGACTCCTAGATTTCTTTCAGCTTCCCTTTTGGCAAGTTCTCTCCCATCCATGGAATATCCTTGCATTTATTTCCATTAAACTGCATTTGCCATGTACTTGATTTTGGATCTGGAATAACAAATTTGTATTATTTAGCAACAACTAACTCCTTCACCAATTAACCAGAACTATATGTATGTTGCTGATCATTCTGTGACTGCAGTTTGACAATTTGTTTGATTTTGTCTCTACCTTGTTTTTATGATACAGAGCGATGAGCAGCCAGAGGAAAATAGAAGCAAGGAGAAAAGACGAGGCAGGCCAGGGCGGAAACGCAAGCAACCACAAGTAAGCACACACCCTTTTGTTGAATGGCTCTTGATTTTCATGTTCAGTGCCTCCTTCTGATTACTTGTTTGGATACACCAGTGAGCCATATAATGTCAATATTCTCAGAAGGGATGTTGAATCAACTGTTCTCCACCCCAACAGAGCACAATTTTATTTTTAAAAAGCCGTCTTTCTTCATAACCAAACCTGTTTTTATTCAGTATTTATGCCTGGTGGATATTTCTGTCAAGCTCTGACAATTTACACTGCTACCTATCTTTTGCTTTCTCATGTTCACATGAGTGATCCATGATCTGTGTGAGAATTCACCTAGCTGATGGAAAAGAGGTACTTAAGATTAAGATAATTACAATATAGTACTATTTACATAGTACCTTTCAGGGCAGAGGCTATCTCAGAGAGCTTCACAGTGCTGGAGGGGTACACGATCTGGAGATGACGGTATGATGTTGGATAATGTAGGTGGATGTTTATGTTATACTCAGCCATCCTGTAGCTGGCTGATTGACTGCCTGAAATAGCCAGACCAGGACAAACATAGGAATATCTGGAAAGTGATATTTCCATGTGGCTTTTATTTTCAATTTCCAATGTGATTTATGTTTGATACCAATGTTGTGGTTATCCTGCAGAGTTCTTTTGATATTCTTTCCTTACTCCAGATCCAGCTTTTGAGATGAGGATCAATGTTAAACCCTACCCTGGTCAGGTACAGCATGGCAATATATAGAATAAAGGGTTCCCCGCATTACCCCATAACATATCTTTATCTTGACCTTAGGCAAGTCCCTATTTCACCCGTCATGTGAGGAGGTACTTGTGCAAGTTATCAGAGCTTGAAACAATGACAATAATATTTTTAGACTTGGTGTTTACTGTATAGTTACAGTTACAATTCTAGTAGGCATTAACCAACTCTTGCCATTGTTGAATACTCTTCGTTGAGAACCCCTTTTTCAAGACTATTCTGTACTCTGTGTAATGTAGAATGTTTTTGAAATATCAGGTGACATTTGTTGATTTGCATCATCACTCCGGGTACATTTCCCCATTTCTCTTTGTGTCCAGTTGGAGAATTTTGCTGCCAAATCAACAGTGATACCTGAGAATTGTAGCTAAATGTAACATGTTATGTGTATGCAATTTGTTCTTGGGTCTGTTCAAGTACAATTATTCCTTCAAAAAATTAGTATCCTTTTAAATAAGTATACATGTAAACATGTCTTTTTAAAAAAAAATGTATTTGCTTTATAAATGGTTTGCTAAACCTAATGGTAGACTTTTAATCATGATTTTTGGAGTGACTTGATGGTTAGCCTTGCTTTTTGTGGATCTATCATACCAACAGTCATCAAACTCACTTGGGTTCCCCATTAGATGATCCTCTTGGCCCATTTGATATCACTCTTTCAGAATATTTACCCGAGATTCTTCCTATTGCAATTTTCAAGCTGTTTCTTAAATGAATCCAGAGTTCTGGCCTAGATTTCCCTTCCGTTCTCATCTAGCTGATGCTCTGAAATTGCCCTCCACATATGGAACAATCTGTGCCTGAAAATACAATGTGAAAGTCTGAAAATACCTATTGCAATGATCAAGTCATCTACATCTCATAATGAGGTACAGATTGCTTATTTTAATACATCCTGAGGTTTATCCCAAGCTAAAGGTGTTTTGTGCTTGACATTTATTTTGCTCAATTGTGTCTTCTTGTCTGAAAAGGTTTACATGTTTCTGGTGTAAAGTTCTATGGTAGATTCCTCCAATACTTCACCCAAGTGATCATTATTCATTCATGAGCTTTGATAGTGAGTGTCCGCTGAAGCCTGTTATTACCGCTGGATTTTGTTCGGACCCTAATCCTGACTGATTTCTTTTTTTCCTAACCAAGGGGTGCTGAGATCACTTTTAGCAGCCCTGCCATTATCCCTACCCGCTCTGTCATTTTGTTCAATTATTGAGGCAGGCTATTGGTTTTCTCACCTTTCTTGAATATGGGAACATTTGCCTTGCTTCCAGTCTTCTGATCACCTAACTCACACAGACTGGAGGTGAAAACTGACAACTTTATTGCTGGTCTCAACCTCTCAATAGTTAAACCTGTCAAGCCATCAAAAGCCATTAAAGGTTTTCTATAGATGTTTTGTAGTTACAACAAGCAGTGTCTAGCCAAGATTCAAAACATCACAAAGAGTTTTGAATGGAGAAAGTCCTTCAGCTCATCCAATCACATCCTTTCAGAAAACCCATGTTACAGTCTTTCCGTCACAAGATCAAGCTATTTTTTAATAAAAAATCAGTCCAGTGCCACCCTTTTCTGATGGTTGAATTTAATTACTCCCAGATAAAGATATATTTCTTGGTGTCTGTCCTGAAATGGCCGATTGCAAACTGAAACCTGTATTTCCTTGTTCTGCTTTCTTGTTGCATCTAAAAAGTATTGTTCTGTGCTTACTTGCCCAATTTGGGATGTCACCTCCTCAAAAAAAAGTCAGACAAGATTTATTCCTTCTGAACCCATGTTGCCTGTGATTTATTTGATAATTTTATACACTATTTACACTATTAAGACAAGGTAAATGAGTCAACTAACTCCCCTAGATCCCCTTTCAGCTTCCTCCTGAATGATTCTATCCCACTGAGGACTTATGCTTCCTATTCTAACTTCCTACATGCAGTATGTTGCATTTACTGTATCAGTATAGAACTTAATTTGCCTGTCCATGTCCATACACTGTTAAACAACTTTTGCTGCCTCCTCTGATTTCACAGTTCCTACTTCCTCCCAACTTTAACTGCATGTTTAACTACCTTTGGCTTGTGAATCCAGGTCATTAATATATATATATATAAGGGACAGGAAGGGTCCCAGTACAAACCCCTGAGGTATCCTACTTTAATACCTCCCCTTATTTTGACCTATATCCCCTAGCAACTGCTCTCTGCTTCCTCTCTTGAGTTAATTTTGAATTAATGTCAGTGTCTTGCTCTTGATACCTAATGACATATAGTACTTGTTTCATATATGGTACTTTGTCAAATGCCTTTTGGAAGTTTATAAACTATGTCATATGGATTCGCACAGTCAATTTGGGATGCCACCTCCTGAAAAAAATCTACATGGTTTGTCAGACAAAATTTATTCCTTCTGAACCCATGATTTATTGGATTATTTTTATAGAAGTAATCTTCCATATTCATTCTAATGATTAGATCTGTCATTTTGTTCAATTATTGAGGTCAGACTATTGGTTCTGTCACCTTTCTTGAATATGGGAACACGTGCATTCTGTCAATGCAAAGCAAATTGCCTGCCGAGAATCCTTAAGTAACCTGAGATATAGTTGTTTTTCAGCCCTTTGAGGCTATCTAGAACCCGAGCCGGACTTGAAGTCCTGGACTTCAAATAATGTTTGCGAGATGTTGGAGGGTATTCAGTGACTCTTCACCCCTTCCCCACCTCCACCCATCAGTAAAAACCTCTAGGGTGTAATATGTTTGCCATCTTCTGTTCATTCTCTTTCCAACCCTCTTTGAATCCCTTAGAGTTTTTATATTTTTCCTAACTACCTCTTACTGTTATCAAAAAAATTGTTATACTGTATTATATGTTGTTGTATTCCCTTTTCAAATTTCTCTGGTTCCCCTAAACTCATTGTTCTCTTTCTGAACAGTCTTGTATACAAACTTTGTATAACCTTTTTCTTAAACCACCAGAATACTAACATGAATTGTATCAGTCACCCACCAGTCAGAGAGTGTAGTAACTAATGACTTTACAGCATTGTACCCCCAGAGTTTGAATAGCACTCTTAAGTTTAGGAGAAAGTCATTGTTACAAAATACAAACATATAGGGATTCTATTACTTTCACATATGACAGTGTTATATGAATGAGGAGTTCTGGGGGTGGAAAATCCACCTGGGTCTAGATTTGCTCTATGAACATAACATTTCAGAGGGTTCAGAATTTGTCACCTACTTAAATAGCCTTTGGTTTTGAAGACAGTTTTTCTATTAACTTATTTTAAAAACTACAGAAAATGGACTTCAAAGTTTTAAAAAAAACTGAATTAAACAATTTACCAAATTCTGCAGACTCTGAAGTGTTAAGTTAATTGAGTAAAACTAGACCTGGGTCGAATTTTGCTCCATTGCTTTCTATCTTGCAAAGGTGCTTGTCAATGAATGGAAATTTGAGGGCTATGGAAGTCTTAAGTGGCTCTGCTTTATTGCTGACATTGATTCATTAGTTCAATCCATGCTGCAGCTCGGTGAACAAGCACATAAATTCTATTCAACATGCTCCGTAATACATTCCTGAATAGTGCCAGCCAACAATTATTGTCTGCTTGTTGTAGCTTTGTGCTGTTAACGCCTCTTTGCTGAGGCTCCTGTTTAATCTAGTAAACTCCCCTTTTTGTTTTGTAGGGGTGCTTTGATTTGGCGAGAGGATGCCAATGTGAAAGAATTAACTTTTTAAAATTCTTTCCAAGTCTTTTCTGCTAAGAACTGAAAAAGAGCCCCTCCGATGATATTCCAGTTATTCTAATTTCATTGGAGGGGCAGAGGGTGGGATTGGAGATTCTCGATGATGAGAATGTTATCAGGGTGCTGAATGCTTGAAGCTGCTGCTCTGAATGCTCACATCTGGTCGATCCAATCCCCATGTTACTTGAGGAGCCATCTGCTCACAGCTGGCAGTGAACTGCCTGAGGATAAAACACTGGGAGGCTGTAAAATCTCTGAAACATTACTTCAAAAGTGACGGAAACCTACATGTGACATTTTGGAAACCAGCGCTGATATATACTTGAAGATTGGAACTCATTTGAGAAATATCGGCTGTGAAAGCAAATTGCTAAGTGACAGCATGTTCCAGTGAAGCCAACCTCTTATCCAATGCAACCTCTGACAGCTCAGTTTGTTGAGATGTGTACCTGAGTTAGCAGGCTCTGGAAACAAAACCCAGTTGATCCATTTTTCTCTTCACCCTC